TTTGTTGGTTTTTTTTTCTTTTGTTTTGTATCTGTGGGGTTTTTTTTTCTTATTTGTCCCTTTGCACTGCTGTTTTAATGCTATACATTTGTTGTAGAGGGAAGATAAGGTCAATAATAGCAAAATGTCAGTCTTGGTGTACTGTGAGTTGGTACAGGAAATGGCAACCCTGAATTTTGCTCAGAGCAGAGTGTGCCATTTAACTGGCAGCGTTCCCATACTATGTACATTTCACTTCACTTCTTATAATAATGTGTATCAAACCTTTTTAATTTCCATAACCAACCCACATAAAACCATTTTTCCAAATAATCTCCTAATTTAGGCCTAGAAAATTTCTGCCCATCTGCATGCACACACAACATTGATGAGTCTTCCAAGTCATATTAAAACCTTCCAAAAGCTTAAGGATATCCAGATATGAGTCTTCAGTTCAACTAATTATGATGAAAGGGGTGAATTGCAAACTACAGGTGCAGATCCAAATTTTCTTAATGTGATGGACCATCAGAGTCCATGGCATTTGATATCAGATACAGCACAAGTAGATAAACAAGTAAACAAACAATAATTTTCTTCATGGGTATGTGCAAACTGGATACTTAAAGTAAGTAGAGAATTCATATGCATATACAGCCTTTTCATGCAGATAAGTGTACATCCAAATATTGGGCCTGATCTGACAAAAAGCAGCTTACGACACCCTTTGAAAGTACCACCCTCAGTATCTTATTAATGTAAGAAATGGTGTTCTTTTAAAAGATCAATGTGCCAGTTATAAATTAGTCCTTGTGGATTTATCCCTAAAATGAATCCAAGTTCAAAGGAAGAAACTCATTAAGTGAATTCCTTCTCAACTCCTCCAGTCACCAAATATCAAATGCATGTTTATTAAACCTTGTAAAGGACTTAGTCAGGCATACACCATCTTAAAGTCATGTCTGCATTCAACACAGCTTTACTGATATGAATCCTCAATGCAAGAATAAATCTATTACAGAAATAACTGTGCCCCTGGGGTCTGACTTCAACAGGTTATTTTTGTTCGTATGTGCTCTGCATATATGCAAGTTTTCCTGTATAAAGATAGTGGAATCACTAAATGACTAAAATAGATGAATTGGTACAGGTTACACTTAAAAATGGTATACACTAGAGAAGTCAGAGATTCACAAGCGTTTAGAGCTGAAAGGGAACTCATAAGATCATCAGGTCCAGCACCCTGCTCTGGGCAGGAAAGACTGCTGGGGTCAAATAACCCGAGCAAAGTGTGCATCCAGTCTCCTTTTGAAGATCTCCATGAACTGTGAAGTTTTTCTTTATATCCAGTCTGACACCTTCTTCTAGAAGTTTATAACCATTGCTGCTGGTTTTCCCCTGGGTCACTCTGGTGAATAGTTGTTCATCCAGCCCCTGATGTTCACCCCTGATATATTTGTAAGCTGCCACCAAATCCCCCTAAAGTCTTTTCTAGGCTGAACAGTCCCATATCTGTCAGTTTTTCCTCATATGGCTTGCTTGTGGATGATTAACTTGACTAGGATGTGATTTAAAAAAAAAATTCACCTTAGTTGTCATAGGCAGCAGAAGTGGAGGGGAGGGGGCTAATGGGGCTTAGACCCTGAGACTCAGGGCAGTGGTAGGGCCACAAGGCAGCTCAGCCGCAGGCTTCTTGCAGCTGTAGCAGGGATGGGGAGGGGCACACGTGCAGTGGTGAGGAAGGGAGTGGGAGTGGGGCTGGAGCTAGGCAGGCTCTGCACAGCTGGGGTGCAGCATGGGACTGAGCCATGAGTGGCTTGTCCAGGGGGCACGGCTCCTGCTGCTATGTGCACCCTGAGAGGCATGGGGGCACACTCAGCCCCACCCCCAAATAATTTTTTCTTCCTCCACCTGTACTAGTTGCATTGATACAAGCCCTAGGCTGGATGCAGTTATACCAGTATAAGGATACCTTATCTCAGAATAAACTATGCTAATATAAGCATTTTTGTCAATTTATATTTATATCAACAATAAGAATTTTATTGCTTTAAATGTAGCCATGTAGGTAAAGCAGCAGATGTTGATAGTACAGCCAACCCTTAAGTTGTGGTTAAATTTATTAAATCTAATCCTTTGTGCAGTTATATAGATATGTGCTAATCCACTCCAGCTGGTAAAAGTAGGAGAGATGCACTTTTATTCCATTTGGTCTCACGTAACTAACATGTGCTCTGCCTGGCATGGCTCAAACAGTTGTTATGGACAGATTGAGTTAAGATCAGTAATTTATTTCATGCACATCACCCAATAGTTGTCCAGTGATGAGCTAGGATCTGGTCTTCTTGCATGTTTAACATGACAAGGTCATGATCTTGATTAGAATCATTGATTATTACTTGATACAAATAATAGAGTTCTATATGTGTGTGCAAAACTAAGTAAAAAACTCATGATTAAGGCTACCTAGCGCAACACACAAAAATTCAGAAACATCAAAAATGCCCTGTGTAGCCTGGATTTAGTTCCCTATCTGCTCTAGATATTAATTACATGCTCAGTTTGTTCAGAAAGTTTGACTCATTCATTGCTCAAGTTGGGTGGGTCTCGGGGAGACAAGGCAGCTGTTCATATTTCTTTTCTGTTATCAGTGTTTATTTGGCTCCAGGCCATATTTCCTGTACGTTGTGCAAACCCTGCTTTGAATATAGAAGTATTACATTCTTCATGGCTACTATTTCCATTTTACAGATGGGAAACTGTGGCAGAGAGACTTCAGCCAAAACTGATAACTTCCATTGATTTGGGGTTCCTCAGTGAGTGGATATCTATTCTGAGACATCTGAGATCTGATTTTTCATAGGTGCTTTCATAGGTGCTAATGAGTGCATAGCACTCATCCCCTTCAGCTGCACCTCTCCATTGTTCTGCAGCTGGAGTGAAGATGTGTTGCTCCACTTGGGATTCACAGTTCAGAACCACCTCTTAAGGGTAGTCCCTTTTTAAAAAAAAAAAAAATAATATCCCTTGTTATTTTTTTTAAACGCAATAAGGGCCACTCTGGTTTTAAAGCATGGCTGGAGGAGGAGCCAAGCTGTTTAGCATTGTTCAGACTGAGGCATTTCTAGGCACAAAGAAATGAAGGTTTCTAGAGGATGTTTAATGTCAGAACCTGAGTCATGACTTTAGATGCCTGTAGGATGAGGAATCAGGTGCCACTAGACCAATACGGCTACAACCTGGATACCTGCAGGATGAGGAAGCAGTCGAGAAGGGACTTTTTGAGATTGCAATTTTGGATGTAAGCATAACATTTGCTTAAATCCTACTTTAGGGCCCCAGTCCCTTTTTTTAATGTCATTAAGTAACTTACCAAAACTCATATATTGAAGGAACCAAGAAGAAAATCTAGTTTTCTTAGGTCCTTTACCACTAGTTTTCCTAGGTCCTTTACCACTTCAACCACACAGGTTCTAGTATCTGATGCAAATGAGGCAAGGAACCTGCAGACAGCACCCTCATTTATTATGAACCTGTCTACTTTAGGCACTAAACAGAGCTGTAAAAAGGAGGGGAAAAATGCAGTCATGCAATTAATGCCCGTAAGAATACCCACTGCTTCCATGGTATCTTTTGTCTATAGATATCAAAGCTCCTGAGTGTCATTATTTCTGTTTTACAAGTGGGAAAAACTGATGCACAGAGGAAGTGACTTGCCCAAGTCTGGTTACCCAGTGGATCAGTGACAGACATGAGACTACAACCAATATGTCTTGTTTCAGCCCGGTGCTCTACTTGCCAGGGAGTGGTGTTTCTCCTGTGCTTCACACCTCTAAATACCAGTACCAAGAACTCTTATATCAGGCTTTGCTTCATTTTCCAGTTCTTTGTGCATCTAAGAAGCATTGTTCTTGCCATTTTCCATTCTGTTCATTCATGAAAGAAGCTTTTTCACTTTGCTGTCAAAGACTGACAGTAAATGTTTGGGTTTCACAGATGGTGAATATTGTGTGTCAGGATACTCAGCACTTGGAAGCCAGCCATCTGAAAAGGGTGTTTATATATATATTTTTTTCGCTTTGTCCAGATCATTGAGTAAGTATATCTTAAATCTAGGTGGTGGTGGTGGTGGAGGGTTTTCTCTCTGAAATGCCTGTAGGAGACACCTTGCACCCCACCCTTTTGAGAGAGTTGTAGTCATCACCTTACCACCTATTCCACTTGTTTCAGATTCACCCTGGATACCACATTAGTTCCCCTAAGGGATGGTGCTGAGCATCCATGGCAGCTGTTGAACACCCCGTCTGAAGGACTCGGTGGCACTCTTCCTGGATTGCCCCCATCTGTCCCATTCTTGTGTCCGGGGTTTTACACACAGCCTTGAATCAACATATGAGGATGCAGCCAGCACTGCTTGCTGAAATGCCATTGCTCTCATTCATGTTCAGCATTCTCAGTGTAATGACAACGTGCTGTTACATCGCGCTCTGCCTGTAACTAAATCCTGGTTTTTTGTCTGAAAAGTTCTGGTCCTGTTTGTGCATTTGCTTTCCTTGATCAAGCTGCTGCTTCTCCTGTGCTTCTTAATAACTTCCAGGGGGGAGAGGGGATCAAAGATGCCCATCTTGGATGGCATAATGCAAATGGAGTGTAATCCTCTTCAATTAGTAATGATCTAATTTAGCAAACGTGTTCAAGTCATGACACTACCACCACCATCAGCCTGGGGAAGAAAGATGAAGCCTGCCTAAATGGAAGCGCTGGGATTAAGTGTGTGTGTGGGGGGGGGTGATCTACAATAAAGCTTTGCCTGCATTGTGGCAGGAGGTTTTTGTAGCAGTGCTTTCCAACGGGAAACAAAAGCGAAAGACTTACTTCCTCCTGCTAACTGATGGGGGGGGGGGCGGGGGAGCAATGCAGATGTTGCATTAGTAGCCCTCCCCACCGCTCTTTTTTTTTTTCTTTTTGATTTCAAGGCCCACCCCAAGGGTGGAGTCTGGCTTTCTTTCCAGTCTTGGCTCACTTACAGCTCATTGCAAACTAGTAGCAATTTCTGAGTCTCAGAGCCTTTCTCTGTCTGGTTCCTAAGCACATATGTCAAGGTCTGGCAGGCACAAGGTATGTGATGATTCCTGTTACTTTCCAGAGAACTTTGCATTTGCAAGGGGGCTGGTCTTGACTTCACTTGATTGCCTATATATATATATATAAGCATTGAAACAGTGAGCGTAAATGAGGCAAAGGACAGGCAGGGGCAGACTGCGAGGAGAGGAGAGGAGAGGGGTGCGTGAGCTGGAGCAGCCTGTGCTCGGAGGCAAGTTGCAGGTTGGCAGCCTCCTAGGGAAGAACTTTGATTGCTCCCCCCTCCCTTGCTTGCTCTTGTCCTTCCCATTTGTGCAGTGCCTTCATCTCTGTTCTCCTCGTGCATTTCATCCCTTTGTTTGGGGGGGAAAAAAGGCTGAACCCAACGAGAATCTTCCTGCTTATCTGTTGATTCCCTTTGTGTCATGCACATGCTCGCTCTCTTTCTCTCTCTCTTCCTCCTTCCTCCCCAGTTTCCATGGAAACTACAAAAATTCCCCAGGCCTTGCCCTAAATATTATCCATATTTCTCACATGATGTTGCACTTGTGCATATTCTGCACGGATTGATATTTGCTGGGATCCAGCCTGCATTTGTACTCTCCCCTTCTACTTTCATTTTGGTTTTCCCCTATCACAATAAAGGGGGGGGGAGTAGGGAGACTGGGGTTGCTGTGGAAACAGACATTTGTGATCATCTATTTACAGCTGCTTTCACCAATGTGCTTCCTATCAAGAAGCCTGTGTGGAGCCTAAATAATGAGATGTTTTGAATGAAAGGTATGTAGGTATATAAATAGAGTCTATTAATTTCCCATTGCACCTAGAAGAATCATACAAAGAACAGGAGTGGTGTTTGCAAGGAGTGAAGGACACTGCATTTAGCATGTTCTTGATTCGTTATAAAGATTTCTTTCTTTTCTCTTTTTTTTTTTTTAAATTAAGATATCTGAGCCTATCTAAAGTAAAGTGAAGACCGCTCTGCTTGAACACTGTCACATCAGCCTAAATCTCCAGACTCCAGAGCATTGCTTGGCACTTGTAAGATGCTCCACTAGAGGATTTGCTTCAACAAGTGAATGTTAACTTGAGTCCAAATCCTTGTTAACCGTACTGCAGCTGTTCTGATCAGTGTTTTCTGCTTGGCATTGTCTGTGTGTAATTGTCTTGCATTTGCAAGAGCTGCACATCTGTAAACCCAGAGATGCAACTCTAAGAACAACAATGAAATTAATGCAGGCACTTGTTCCAGGAGGCTGTAACCTTAATCTAGAGCAGTGGTTTTTGAACTGTGCCATTGGGTTCTGTAACGGGTCATGGGGGTAAGGAGCTGGGAGGTGGTGCACTGCTATTGCTAGGTCAGGTTGTTCGCCAACCTGGCCTACAGAGCCAGGGTAGGCGTTTTGCAGCAGAAGTGGTATGCAAGGGTTTGGTGACTTCGGGTAGTTTGGAAACTGCTAATCTAGATTTAGCATTGCTACTCCAAACTACTACTCGGTTACAAAAGGGGGGGGGTGTGAAAAGGGGAACAATAACCTATATACTTCTGAGAACTGTGATGCAACCACAGTGGCACTTGTGCTAACAGCATAATCTTAATCTGGATTGATAATGACTACTGTTGCACAAAAAAAAAAAAAAAAAAAAAAAAAAGTGGCTCGCTTGCCCAAGGAAGCTTCTGCACTGTGAACTGACAACACAACAGCAGCTCTGCCCCATAGAGATGTCCTCTGTATGTGCTAAGTGTGAGTGAGTTCTGCTTTTGCAAATAAAGACCCCTAGTGTAAAAGCAATCTGTGAACACGGTGTCCATGTAAGAGTTAATGGAAAGGAGCTCATGAGTTGTATATTTGTTCCGTTTGTCACTCTGTAGTAACTTGCTCTTAGAGAAAAAAGGTTTAACTCTCTTCTTGTGACCCCATAGGAAGGGACATGAAGTGAATTTGGCTTCAGATGTCTCTGATTCCTCTCTTTTGAAATGGTTTGATTTAAGATCTGAAACTTGTACTGTATCTTTCTCTAAACAGAGATGCGTGTTGTGTCCTCTTACTGCTTAATCACACTTTTAGCCATTTGAAACCAGGGAACAATGAGGCTCTAGGTTCAACGCTCTGTGTAGGGAGGCATGTGTTTCCTTGTATTTACGGATGTAATCTTGGCAGTATTGAACAGATGAGGACAGGTTAAAATTTGACTGTTGGCTTGAGGAAGATCATATTGGAAAGTGTGCAAGGGCTTTCACAGGGAGAAAATGTTCCGATTGGCTGGTGGCTGTACCAACTAGCTCTCTGCCAATGTACCGAGTAATTAAAACTGTTTGTAATAGGCAGGTCTGTTCCTTTAAGAGGAAACAGCCCAGTTGAGAGAGCTCAGCTGCTGGGCTTTTGGATAGTCAAGGGGGTGGCTGTGATGGTGGTCCTCAACTGGTGGTCTTTGGGATCCTTTGAAGGGTAAGAGAGAAGCTCAGAAGATAAACTCGGGCTTGTCCTTGCCTGGTGTTTCTCTTGCCCCTACTGCCTGGTCGTTCTGCAAAGGGGTAGGCACTGCTATACATACGCTTGTTTTTGAAATGGGGTGCCACTCAGTTCACAAAAGTGGTGAAAGGGTGCTTTGAGTCTAAAAAGATTGAGAACCATTGTGTTAGGAACTTCAGGAAGTTCCCAGAAAGGTAAGCATGAGAGGAGGAAGTAAGGTGCGACTATAACTGCCTGCTCCCCTTGTAGCAGGCAATCTATGTTGGAAGGCAGAGCCAAAGAGCTGCTCTGCAAGTGCATGGGACCGGGCAGAAGTGTTTTTTGTCTTCTTTGTTGCCTAAAGACAGAGTTGCCAGAGGACTGGCTGAGGAAGCAAAAGCACACCTGCAGAAACCAGCAGGCTAGGTAACCTTACAGTGTTGATCAGCATTTTAATGATGCTGCTGTCCATCCAGGTGTCTTTAAGTGCTATTAAGTCATGTAGTTTAGGATGGAAGAAACAGGCCTGGAGAGGTGATGTGATTTGCCTAACTTCTCAGAACAGATCTGAGATGGAGCCACCAGCCATCTTGGAGCTGTACCATCCTATCTAATAAAGAGTTCATTCCTTGTCTGTTGAGCTGCTTTTGGAATCGTAGCAGCAAGGTATTTCTGAATGAGCATGTCTAGCTGGGACTGCCCTTCTCCTCTCGGATGAGAGATGCAAAGGGCAGGATCTAAGAGACGCAGGGACGACTTCTGTTGAAAGGAAACAAATGATGGGGTGGAAGGAGAGGGGAGGAGCCGTTGTGGGTAGCCCCTAAAGGAAGGCACTAGATGTCAGGGTTGGGCAGGTCTGGCCTTTAATCCTTGACCTGAACTGTTGGATCTTCCTTTCCCTGCCTATTGATGTAAAGGCAGAGATGGTCAAATTACTTCCTGGATGTACTTTCCCCTGGGAGATTAGGGCTTAATTGCCTTTCAATCAGATGGGGAAGAGCCTTCTCTACTGAGGCCCTGGGGAGCAACTGAGCATGCTTAGTACACCTCAGAGTGCCTTCAGGCACACTCTGACCTTCACTACTTAGCCCATCCCATTGCCATAAAAGGCTTCTGGTAGGCCCCTCTTGTGGTAAAGCACTTCTAGGGGCCATGGAGCGAGCTCTCCAAGCTGGGACAACTGTAAAAGTTTTTGGGGTGCTGGGCCCATGGAGGCAGTCTGTGGTTGGACAGGGCTCCCAAACAGGGTATGGTAACTGCAGAGGAGTTTGCTCACTCCTTGGGCGTAGATGGACTTAACATGGTATGACCCTGAGCCCTTGTTTGCGTAATTTTACTTTGAAATTTTTAAAGTATTGCAGGAGGTGTTGTGGGGGAGGGCAAAGCTCCCGTGCAGGTGACCAAGAGTCTCATGGCTGTGCTGGACCCCTCCTGCAAGGGAGAGGGTTCCTGGCTCACTTTACCTGCTCTGACGTGATGGCTTGATGTCCATACTGGCTGCAGCTCTCCCTGGTAGGAAGGTGCCAAACCAATGAGCTCTGCTGTGCCCCAGGTTAGAAATCCCCATCTACAGGAAAGATGGAGTTGTACAGGTAGCCCTCAGACGTGCAACACCATTGGTTCCTGAAAATCACATCTTAAGTCGAAACATAACTCGGAACCACTTTCCCATAGGAACAATGTTATAAATGGGGGATTGATTCCTTTATGATGCTTGATACAACTGCGTCCATCTGGTAAGTCTGGTGTGGTGGGAGGGCAGATCAATGCCCCCCAGAGTGAGGGAGGGGCTGGAGCAAATCGCTAGTCAGGCAGCTCCCACTGCTCGTCCAGGAGGGCTTGGGGGCAGGGTATGTGCCCCGGATCTGTGTGGAGCAGGGTGGGCAGGGCCGGGGCTGCACTGGGAGCAGGGGCTATGCCTTTCTGCCACTTGCCCAGCCGGGGCAGGGTGGGACACTGGACAGGGCCGCTGCGCTGCCTCTGGACAAGTGGCTCACAGCAGTGGGAGCAAGCTTCCACCAAGCTGTGGCTCTATCCCTTGCCCTTCCTGCCTCAGCCCATGGGGGGGGCATGTACCCCCGGATCAGGGCGGGTGGTAGGGTGGGTTGGGTGCTGGAATGGAGGTCATGAGCCCTGCTCCCATAGGCCCTGCCGCCCACCCGGAGTGCAGCCTGGTGCAGCCCTGGCCCAATCCGAGGGCACATGCCCCTCCCCCCCAATGCCCTGCCACTGCTCGCCCAGCCGGAGCAGGGCGGGCCCAGGATGGAGCTATGGCTCATTCAGGGGAGGGCGGGGTGGCTCAATGACACAATGTGTCTGGAGGCAGCGCAGCAGCCCCATCCCGTTCTGGCTGGGCGAGCAGCAGGAAGGCATAGCACCCATGCCTGGTGCAGCCCCGCCTGCTCCACCCTGCGCAGATCTGGGGACCGCCCCGCCCCCGTGCCCTCCCAGACAAGTGGTGGGAGTTACCAGATGAGCAACTTGCCTCGGCCCCTCCCTCACCACTGGGGGACCTTGATCTGCCCTCCAACACCCCTTCCCTTCCCCCTCCCCTTCCACCACAGACTTACAAGCTGGACACAG